AAGAGGGGAAAAAAAGGCAGAGCCAGGAGGGAGTGAGATGAAAATGACCACAGGAGGATAAAAAGAGGAAAGTGGAGAGCAAATGAAAGAATACGGTAATATGGTGAATACTTAAAGTGAAAAGTACGAGGAAAAAAAGCCACAGTGAGAAAAGGGGAAAACAGGAGAGAGAATCAAATTAGAGCACAAAAAAGTTAAAAAAAAAATGTCTGAGAGAATAAAAAGAGAAACAGTACTGAAAGAAAAAGAAAATTAGATGGGAGAAGGACAGAGGAGAAACCCATTAGAGGAAAGTGAGAGGAACTGAGGGATGAGGGCCTTCCAGATGGTAGGAGACTGTTGCCTCGGAAACACAGAGAGGGCAGAACAATGGGGATTTGGAGTGGTGTTTCGCATCCCATCATAATACGGCCATGCCATTTGGAAACTGAGCAATGAATCGACAGCCAAAAACTCGTGGGGATAGACAATTTACTGCAGGAGGCTCCTCAAAAATAAATCCTGATCAACATGTCAAACAAGAAATGAGCCGATGGATCAACAAACTAAGAAAGACGCTCTAGACTACCATGTCACAGGGCTGCATGTCCTTCAAAACCTTTGTCCGTGTCATTGCTCTTTTCTCACTGCATTGATTATCTCTCTTGCCTGTTACACATCAACTCCCCCCACCATGACATGTGCACACACAGAAGTTATAGTTATCCTATGATGTGATAAACTATACTATCTCTTAATCGGATTAGAAACGGCAGGAGTCACAGTACAAATAGAAACCCTTGTATAGTGTCAGCAGCTGACGAAGATAATAACCGAATAAAAGAAAATGTCTCTCTAATATGCAGTTATATAACTTTAATACAAGAATTCCTATTTCCATATTTCAATCCTTTATTAAAACACTAAAACTAACTAACTAACTAACTAACTGTCCAAAAAGACTGAAGAAAACCTGCAAGTAAAGACATATAAATTTGTATAAATTGCAGTTACATCAATGTTATAGGTTGTATATGCAACTCTCAGCCTTGCAGCAAATTTTTCTTAGTGGTCACTCGCAGCATGGCAGTGAAAAAACCCCCAGCCCAGAAAGCATTTCCCGATAGACCATCATTGTAAAAGACTTTTTACACTGATGGTTTGATATTTGTAAAACTTTCCTTGAGCCCAGAAAATCATTTTCAAAATCTGTGACGTCATCACAATGTCAAGTCTATGAGCTGAGCAGAAACTCTGGGGCACTAAATTTATGATATGGGGCCCCGAATTTGATGAAGTTACTGTTTATTAGACCACAAATAAAAAAAAGAATCAATCAGTGTTCTCCGTAGTCCTTCCGTCTCACTCCCCACTGCTCGGAGATTGCTTTGTCGGGAGGAGAGCGGACGGCAGCTACGAAGACGGACCTTCAGTCAGCAGCTGTAGCAACTCAAATTCAGCCAGCACAAACCTGAGGGGTAAGTAGCGGTACGTCGCTGAGCTGCTGCTGCAAAATGTATATAACAGGAACACAGCTTGTGTGGACTCTGTTGTGGTGGGTGCCAGTTGTTTGTTGACACTGACAATAAAAATAATTGATAGATGTAAAAAGATAAACAGGCAGCACAACCTTTAAATAAAAAAAGGACATATTTGCAGGTATTTTGACTCCTCTGAAATGCACAAACTACATATTGTGTTCACCAGCTTTAATATCAGAGGAAATGACCTTGTCGCAGAGAGAACCTCTAGAAAATAGCAACTCTAAATGAAGCCATGAGTCATGTTAAATGGTGCAAACCAAGTCACTAGCAATAACAACTTTTAGACATTAAGTGCAGCAGCCATAGAGACAGATTGATCACAATGGTAATGAATTGGCTGCACCTTGTAAGTTCATGAATGGGCCATGTCCTTCTATACTAGCTGAAATTCTTCATGACAGTCCTTTATGGCAGTATCACACATACCCACTTATACGCAGTGTAGTGGGTGACTTCCTGAAACATCATGAAATCC